GAATTTATGTCAGATCAGAATTTTATGTCGCTTCCAAACTGACATACGACAATATATTATTCAATAAAACATTGTCACATTTATTGCTAATTTTCTATTTCTCATCTGACACATGTCAGTTTGGAAGCGACATAAATTCTGATCTGACATATATCACTTCGGAATTGACATAAATTCCGATCTGACCATACAACATTAATAAACATGTTATAAACTAAAGTAGCATGGAAGACTTGGTGAGATTTCTTAGTTCGACTATACGAAGAATGTAGGAACCAATTCCTATAAAGTATTAGAATATTCTGCATACAAAAATATTCCGAATTGTTATTACATACTTCGCGCGTCACAGTAAGTTACTGACTGAGCAGACAATTCTTTTTTCCAGAAATAAAACAGAAATTTATACTAAATGAATAATCGAACAAATAAAATCTACAGTATATCGTTATGACGTCATGTCAGACATTTGGCCCGTGTGTTTTCTTTTTGTCATATGACCAAACAAGAGTTGTATTGTATAATGCAGTTGCCTCCTACTTGCAGGAAGCGAATAAGCAAAGAGTTCAGAACATGTTAATCAAAAGAGTAATGGGTGAAAGATTAACCTCGCTCGACCTATTTGTTCCAAAAAAGAAACCCTTTTATTACCCAGGATAACTTGATTTGATCGATATAACATATGGTGTAGTAAAATATTGGCCGTCTTGTTATTTCCCATGTACGAGACTATATCCAAAACTGTTGCAAAATACATCTCCCCAGGTCTGGACAGTAATAGGCAGATGTGTCAATCAGACCTTTCATAATGTCCAAACAAAAAGTCATATCCATCAAATTCATACAACATTTTATCTTTTTTAGCGTAACCACTAACATCGCCCAAGCATTCAATAACTGCTTTCTTATCTCGCCCATCTGTTACACTAACAAACAATGTGACGCTAAACTTCCCAGGTCGAAATACATCAATAACGTTACTAATAAGATTGGACATAGATCCATGCGATGAATAAGGGATGTTAGTTTCAAAAGATGCGTATGAACAACTAGGTTCAGGTGTAACATGGATAGTAAAGTAACAGTCTCCAAGAAGTCCATTAGCCGAGTATCCACACGGATCAAACAGACATGAATCTAACAGAGCGGATGAGTACAACCGGCCCAGACCGGTCTCTTTGTTTATTCTTTCCCCTCCTAATGACATCGTTTCGCCATTAACACTGTAGAACGGTCTCATCGCATCTTCATCGAGATCAGACATTAGGATCTCGATCGTCTGGTCAGAAAAGTCACCAGGTTGGTCAACGTCAACGTCAGGGATTAGAAAGCCCTCTTGCGGCGATGTCATGTATAAATTCCAATGATCTCCATTTATTTTTCCTACTACATATGCCGCCCCTTTACCTAAAAATTTCATTTTTTTTAAAGATGTGATGTTGGAAAGAGAGAGGGAGTAAAGTTCCGTCGACTGTCAGTATAAAACTGTCAATACACGTTCAACCTTTCAACAAACTACTCCATACCAAATATTTTGTCCAAGAAAGCGACTTCGTCCTTCCAATCAGTGTGCGGAGGTCGCTGCTTTTCAGGAAACATGAAACTTTTCCTCGAATAGAATACTCGCCATATTCTTTTCAATTCGCATATCTCGGATGCGATCTCGAGTAACTTTGGTATGGCAATTAAGAGTACGGTAGATCCACATGTCTTCAAAATAAGTTTATGTGGGTATACGAACATGGATGACTCACTGCAAGCGATAAAAACTAGAGGTCACTCTTCTTGCGAATACAATGATTAGTCAATAAACTACATAATAAGTCTGCCTACCTTAACAGATATGCATCAACGACGTCGTCACTACTGACAACATTCAATATTTTACATTCCACCAGTCCAAGAAGTTCATCCCACACAGCCCTCCCAACTTTTCTTAATCCCTTTCGACCATTAACATCAGCCGGTAAGAAATCGGGTATAGGTTCAAACCAGATTTCGAGTAATTTTTCGGGGCCTTCAAAGACCCTTTCCAATGATTCAGCGTCGCTGAGGTGTTTTTCTGTTGTTATCATTGACTTGAATGCGAGTAGGAAAAAAAAAGAATTAAAGTTGGGAGGTCAGTTGAGTGATCAATGTTATAGATTTGTGCAGATGTAACATTTGCCATTTATATAGTAATAATCACCTAGCCAAGTTTTTTCATGTGTGCACGGGGAAGTGTGCAGAAAGTAACAACCATAATGGTATTTACAATAATATCATCAGTTTGATAATCAAACAACAACCATAATTCAATCTATTGTATCACTGTCTACACTCTCACAACGTTTGCTTGTAAAATTATTATTGATGCTAAGACTGTGTTATGTATACGAGTGTAACAGAACACACGCTGTAGATCCTCTAACCTTGAGGAAGTCTGGCCTCACGTGGTGTCTGGGATCAAAAACCGTAAAAATATGTCGTAATTTGGCCTCAACGGTTATTAATAGTAAGCGTTTAATATTAGTAACAATCTGATAATCGTTAGTCTGCAAATATTAAACATTTAAATGGCGAAGGAGAATTTATATTCGTTGTATTTTTATGTGGGTATGTCCTTGTGCAAATAAATTGGTTATAATCTAAATAATTTATTTACAAGTCCTTTAATATGCACACAAGTTTCTTTGCGCGCTTTTGATGAAACTTTATAATAATAAGTCACTAAGGGAGTAATATCCAACGCGCCCGTATATGGTGTTCAGCCAAAAATTAGTTTGGTAACTATAAAAAATCATTAACATTCCGTGATCTCGATATTTACATCCGATGTACCTAACCCGTTTTGCGCAAACAACTATTTGTCACCCGATTCCTTGTAGGCGCTAAAATAGAAGGTTATCACGCGATGAGTTTTGGACAATAACCGGTTTTGTTATTTACTAGTATCACGTTTTTGTAAAATATACTTCTATGCGGTGAATGGGTAGTGGACTCTGCAAAGAATGCTATCTGAACGGGCTGCTCGGTTTGTCCAGAGTCCGTTATTTGGTTCATATTTCCGGGTCATCGTGACGTAAACATCGGCAAATCATAATTTCTTTTATACACGTGATTTACGTATAATAATAAGTATATTACATTGCTTGTGGAGTTCCTTGGCCAACGAGCAAAGCCAGATACAGATCCAATAGACGAGCTTTTTTAATGGCTTTATCAAGACCCAAGGCTGTAATCAACATGGAAGCACGATTCGATTTAAAAAACTGGGTGAATGTTTATTTCCCTAAACATAGAATCGAATAACAGTTGTATTACAATTAGTTATAACTATCGTGAGGAACTTTTATTCACAACAGGTGCTCGCTAAAGTACAATTATTTATAACAGAGTTATGCAATAGACTTGAGTAATTGATCATGAACATCAAGATGGATAAATGCATCAGCGCGGCATGTGACACTTGATACTTCAATAGTGTCATAGTTACACCATACTCTAGTGCATCGTGACTATAACAATAGTAATAGTCTTTTATTAATAGCTCAGACATTTTAGCAGCAGAGTGGTCAAAATGTTGGGTTTCACCAAAAACATTCGATAACGTTCGGATGCTGCTTTAGGCTATTTACGGAAATAGTCACGGATTCTCACCATGCAGATGTCGACGTCATTTGACACTTTAAGTAATTTATTATCATCGGGAGACAACAATAACAAAGCAGAACCCCCCTAAAAAATTTTCTCTCGCCATATAGATCGAAAGACCAACACTTTTGCTTCAGTCATATTGACTTGTATTTTTTCAGACGTTCTTTTACTTACTTTGCTTTACAATCATCAGGTTCGTCTCATATTCTGCAGGTAGGGTGTTACTGGGTTCATTACTTGTCTCGGACTCTGACAGTGTTGTTGTATACTTAACGAGCGCTACTGCGTTGCATCACTTCTTACTAGTTACCCCCACAGAAACAACTGCAACTTTACTCTGAAAGATGGCTGCGGACAGTTCATCTTCACGGCAATCTACTGATTCGAAGCAAGAGGAACAGCGTCCAAGATCAGTTCAGGGCTCTGAAGATGGCGATGTCAAGCGAGAACCAGAGCAGCAAGAGCAGAAAAAACCAGTTCACGAGGAAGGGTAAGCATCCAGTTTGGGTTTTGGTGCTGATTTTGGAATCCTGGAGAGCCCGTCGAGGGCCCGCCTTCTTTCGAAGTCGTTTCTTTGCAGATGCGCGTTTGAGTTGTCAAAGCCGGCTTCGAGTACATCGCCTTAGGCTGTAATAACCCCTACACTGGCGTGGCTTAGAATCTATAACTCCAAGAAGAAATCTAGTTTTCATTATTTGGCAATAGTATTTGCTGGATAACTGTGAAACGAAAGAAGACACGACTCCTTTAACATTAGTATATTGAAAGTGCAAGATAGATAATTTAGGAACAAACAACATAGAACGATATGTTGTCATAGGTTTTTTTCCTTCTCTGTTAGATAAAGATCAACGCACACTAATAGGATTAATTTTTTTTCCTCCCCTACCCTTCATAATTACTTTGGTATATTCGCTTTTGTACCATATCGTTCACGTTTACCGTAGAAAGATGTTCATAGGAGGTCTTAATTGGGAAACTACTGATGGTAAGATTCTTATAATTAGTGTTAGCAACTCTTTCGGCATCAATGTCGATTGTTACTTCTGGTGTCGTGTCTCGCTTTCTTTCAATTCTCCCTTAAGCCAATTGTCTTTGATGTTGTTCAAGGATGACGCACAAAATTTAAAATATAAATGAACTACATAAGCATCTCAACGTGGGCAATGTTTGGCAAATGCGACGTTTGTTCGTGTTGGGGTTTGAATTATTGATCGTGTCCATAAACCTCCGCTATGCTGTCTTGCCATCAATGCCTATGTTGACATACACCAGTAATCGCCGTGATGAAATTGCGTGCAATTATATGTAGTATGTTCTTACCATAATAACTATGATATCATTATTTCCTTCTACAATTTAATAGAAAGCCTTAGAAATTACTTTACACAATTCGGTGAAGTTACGGATTGTGTTGTAATGAGAGATCCGAATACAGGGAGATCACGAGGGTTTGGCTTTTTAACATTTGTGGATTCGTCCGTAGTCAATACCGTATTGGTTAAAGAGCACCAGTTGGATGGGAAAATAGTAAGTAGTTAAATAGTTAGACTAACCTGGCTGTATAGTGAGGGAGTCCGCACCACGATATAGACTTGTGACTATACAAATAGGCCTCCCCTCGCCTATAGATCATACGTGGTTCATGACTAATGGCATAGTGATATTTAGATCACTCTCTTATTACAGCTAGCTTGGTCATCGGATTGCTGTTTCATAGATGTTTTAAAAGGATATCGCGTCCCCCTCGCTCAATTTATTATTGGTTTCCACTCCAACCATATACTATATAGATTGATCCAAAACGTGCCATACCGAGAGAAGAACAAGAAAAAACTGAGAAAATTTTCGTTGGTGGAATAGCCCCGGATGTCAATGAAGAGGAATTCAAAGAATACTTCTCACAATTCGGTAATGTAATCGACGCGACCTTGATGGTCGATCGCGATACGGGAAGACCGCGTGGATTTGGTTTTATTACTTTCGACTCATCCGAACCTGTTGAGAAAGCGATGGCAAAGAACGATCTTGAACTTAAGAACAAACTGGTACGAGGGTGGTTATTGTTTCTGGTCGTGTTCTAGTGTTTTGTTCGTTAATCCGATATCCTGTTTAGATCGAAGTAAAACGTGCAATGCCGAAGCACAAGTCGCAACGACAGTCTATGTACAATCAGCAGAACTTTGGTTCATCATCAGCCGTGGCTGCTTCGGCGGCGGCAGCCATGTCGGCGATGCCGCCTTCAGCCTCGGTATCAAGATACGGACAACCATATGGTACAGGAAAAGATGCCAGCCTTAGTTATTCGGGTATGAATTATACGCCTCAATATTCTGGTTACGGAGGATATGGCCAATACACGGGCTACAATTATCCGAGTAATTACGGCGGCGGTTATGGTAACTATAATGCCATCAGTCAATATTATACAAGGTAACACATATTATTTTCCAGCTGCACGAATGAGTTTTTATCCTTTATATATCACCCGATTTATTTCAAATTTAGATATGCGAATTCGTATGGGCAATATGGTGGAGGTTATGGGGGTTCCGGAAGCCGAGGCAGTAGCTCTTATAACCAATGGTACAGAGGCAATGACAGCGGATATACGTCAGGTGGGCCGTCATCGGCTGGAGGAGGATCTCCCATTGGCGGTCCTTCCTCTGCTAACCGGATAAGTAGTGGGTATCATCGCTCTCCTAGCAGAGATGAGGGAAGTTATGGTGGCGGTAGGGATCATCACCATCATCCTGGCTCTCCAGCTTATGGCCGTGGAAGTTCGAGAGGACCAATCCGTTCATACTCAAGTGGTATTCAAAGTAGTGGAGGCGGTCCTATATACAACAGCCAGCAAGTCCGCGGGACTCATAACTATCATCCATATGCCCGATGAGTTGAAGAAGGGAGCACAATAGAAAGTAAGGCTGGTACTATGAACATTGCATAAGAATTGTAGCATCCCATTACAATGTTCGAAATCTCTTAATCTAAAAATTATTAGTTATTTTGTTTATTGACTACTATTACTACTTTTGCTTATAAAAGCCATATTAAATCAAATCAATTATAATAATAACAGTAACTATGCAACATTAAAGTTTTAGTCAAAATCATGAATTGAAATGCTACATACTCACATAGATTTGCATGACGCATTTATTTTTATTGACAGTTTCATATCAACTAGAGTCAGAAGTGGTTATAGGGCTAATAAAGAGTGTTTGTAAGCATAGCGATCTTTTTATGCCGATCTTTTTAATATGAATTTCGGTGACCCAAGACTTGCGCGAATCAAAAAAACGGCTACTAAACCAACTTATTGTAACTTTCATTTAGGGGGCCTGCGAAAGTGTTCTCGTCCAGTTGTTGATATATTGATATTGACAATAATGAAGTAGAATTGCTGTTAAGATGTTTTACCGATCATTGTTCGCATATAGAATAACATTTCTGCATTTGATTGCGCGTATGTTCTTGCATCTTCCTCACCAAAGTGGATAATATCGATGCCCTGCAATCTCAATTAAATAAGATGACTATAGGAAGACCTGCTTCAAAGGCATATTTGTCAATTGAACTTATAGACTCGGGAGTATTGCTTTACTGCCTGAATACATTAAATTTTTGAATTTAAAGATGGATTGCAAAAACATCCTGTCATTTTATAATAATCTACAGAAGACATATACAATGCAGATAGGAATCATGAGTATAATAAAGCATACTTTAAAGGTCATTGTCACAAACATTCGTAGGAGTAGCCCGAATTCCGTTGAAAGATGTTAAATCTCAAGGTTGTTACACTCACGCGGGCAACACAACATTTGGTGGTAATTCCGTGGACACATTAGTATAATATTAGTGACGGGTTATTCGTTTCGCTTGGAGTTGGGGCGAGGGTTGAGATGGATAGACCGCCGGCGAAAGTCGAACATAACCATTCTCAAAGAGGAAGTATTTCAGATGACGCGATCAGTGTGGCGCAGACGCCCCCATACTTGTCGATGCTGTCTGTGGATTGGCTATGGGCATACGGAGTACTATACCCAAGACAAGCAACCAGTGGGGTATAGATCCCTGCCGAGAATGATTCCCCAATAAAGAACGCAAATCTCCAAGCATGATTGCCCTTGTGATCAACTGCATTTAATTCAGACACCAACTTTCCGAGGCCATAGTCCTCATGGGTATGACAAAAAATAAAATATTGGATATTTATCGGAAAGATTTTCCAAGGATAACTGTTATACTGTAATTTACGATAATACAAAACTCGGCTAATTAGTCGACGAACAACTAATAAATCATCTGCATGAATATTAATGTTATCGTTTCCTGTTGTTCGAGAAACGATAAAGACTTTTTTAATGCATCTTCGCCTTTTTTTAACGAATTTTTTATTTCTTGTATATCGGGATTCTCTTCTGCATCGGAATTATATTCTGTTTCGAGTATCTTAAATGATATCATCGTCATTTAACGTTGCTACAGAATTCTCCATACCGTCGACAGCGATAAATTCCATATTTGATGTAATGTTAGTTTCTTTGAAGATAAAATTTTCTTACCGTAGATGCAAGCAATGGCCTTCTGTTCGTCGAGCAACTTATGAATTTCAAACGCCATTTTTGTTAAGTAAAAATTTTGGTTCTTTATCGCACAATTTTTTCTACTACCGTTCGATATTTGGCGAATAAATTTTGTTCGCTGATGGTTTGGGAGGCATTCATTTCACCGACAGAAACTACCAAAAAAGGATAATTTCAAAATAATGCTGGCGAAAATTTGTCGGTTAAATGATTGTCGGCGAAACGATTGTCGGTGAAATGAACCGGACCCCTAGTAAATAAATTCCGATTATAATTTTTTTCATTTGGGGTTTAGGTTGATTTTCGCTGAAATACAGCCACACATGCAAGACTTTTCGGCCACCCCACGTAGCAAAATGTACTTCGGCTAAGGCAATCATGCAGTAATAAAGTGCCCATGAAGCTGGGAAAATACTTTTTTATGTTTCGAAAAAAAGAAAATTGTTGTAACAATATTTATTTCCACATGTTTTTTTATATATACTGCATTTTATTCGTAATTCGTAATGCGCAAAACATGTCATGTCGTTAAGAAATGCGCCGTCATAAAAAATATATAGAATTACCCGTATATGAAGAATGAATATAATGGCACCAAATACGAAAAAAGCAATTCATTTTTTGAAAATAGGTTGCAATTGTGGTTGCTCAAAAAAATTTCTGAGAGAAATTTTGCCGAATTACGTAAAGCGTTTCAAGTTCTTTCTAGATTTGAACAAGATATATTTTTAATTGCCTAGCTGAAAGCAATGAATGGGTGGAGAATAACCAGTCTGAAAAGAAAACGCGTACAAATAAGCGAACGTTTTACTACTAAGATTGCAATACACGCTCTGTCAAAAACGTGTCTCAATAAGCTGGGAATTGGTCACGCTCACTTCGAATCCATTTAGCAACAAATGGTATAATACCGCGCGCGTTTATGGTAATGTAAAAAAGTGCCGCGATAGAAAACTAAAATAACAATTAACAAAGACGGATTACCAAGTCCTGGCAGACATGTCAATCGCATTACTTAATTCGCTTACACTATTGCCAGCTGAAACGAGTTATAAATCGGTCCATCATAATCTTATTGCAGGTCTCGAAAATGATAGCACGTTGAAATTGATAAGATATGATGCGTTGCGCAAGTTATTGCACAAATTATTCAAATTATAAATAAGAACAGAATTACAGTATGTGACACTTGTCAACATTTTCGGAACGACTTACAGTATAATGCTCGTAAGGAAGAAACAGCAAAATTACTAAAAGGGTACAAGAACATTTAGTTAAGGCTAAATCAAAGAGAAATTATTACAACAAAAATACGAAATTAGCAGAACAACTGGTAGACGATAATTACGTGCTGTAACAGGAAGTAAAGCTAATCGCGTTAATGCTCGTTTACTAGTTATGATTTTCCTTCCTTCTTTGATAATAAGTTATTATATATATATATAGAGAGAGAGAGAGATAACCCTATATTAAACTGATTATAATTTTTTAAACAATTAAAATGAAGTTATAGTAATTATTTGCTGATCCAAGATTATCATGTCTGAGCCACAGCCTGTGTTAAGCAACCTTTCCAAAATGTCACAAGTGCCTTTCTCATCCAAGGATCAAGCGTTCACTTTGTATCACGAAAATCAGACTAGTCGATAAATAGTATTTCCCCCCTTTGATAGAATAATTGTTTATTTAGCATTCAGTCTTAATTGAACAGTCACCGGAATGATATGGTGATACGTGAGCTAAGCTAAGTAAATCCCTCTGTCGGCTGAACATTACGCGACAGAACTAATCGCTCTCCCAAACACCCTAAATAAGTCTGGAGATCTTCAATGCACAAAGAAAACTGGTGCTAAGATAACACAACGACTAAATAGAAAGGTGACGATCAAAAGGTGGGGAAGAAAAAGGGGGGAAATGGGAAAATGGAAAGGGAAGGGGGGAAAATAGGGAATGAGTAAGTTGAATGTGTTGAATATATTAAATATGTCCGTAACACATACTATTATTTGATATTTTACTCATAGAATAAAAGTCGCATCCATGGTCAACCGCACAGAGTTTATGTAACTCATTCTATATACATGTAAACAAGCAAACTGGATTCTCATTCTTTTCTTCGCACAATACCATGGTTCGCGCTAACAAATCTGCAAAAACTTTTCGTTTCGCTAACAAGTTCGCAGAAATGGCAGCAAGGGAAATATTTATTGTCATTTATTACTATTATCGTTCGAGAAATAGCGAGCAGATTCGACATAGCCAAAGCAAATGAGACCGCTAAATAAAAAAGATCAATCATAGAAGCATATCCGTTTATTGCATACTGACAAGTGAAAATAAATTTTTTTGGCGGCAAAAGCGTTTCGTTACGATGGACTCGGAGTTTTTCTCTGTGGAATATGTTTAAAATATCATAGCGTACTATTCATACATTATTATTATCATGTGACAAGGTAATATTTGATCTGCATAATACGGGGGTCTTTTACGAATTTTTTAGTCAGCAATATAAAGTGTCGGAGGATTAAAGGCACTATCCCAAAATTGATATGAGAAATCTTTCCAGAACTGGCAAAATCGTCCGCAACGTTGCATGGATGGATGAGGAGTACTCTGGGGAAATAAATTAATCTGTATCAATAATTATTATGAAGTTTAAGTAGTATTTGAGTTTACAACTCTTCCGGACAATTTTGATGTAAAATGTTTTCCCCTTGATAAATAACCCTTTGCAGATCAGAGAGCGTGAAATTCATGGCACCGCGCCTTTCGGCGTTAATACTACTGAAAGGCGCCCCCTTTACACTCCTACCACAACCCTGTGACTGTGGTCCTCTACGAATTGAATCCTGTAAATTTAAGACATGCAGAAATGCTCCGTCATAATAGAAATTACTTTCATGGTTTCAGTAAGTGGGTTAATAAATGATTCAAGTATTTGTATGAAAATCGAAAACCGTATTAGTATATAAGGTTTGACCCATAAATCTGATAACAATTAGACATTCTTTTCGTTATATTGTCATTAAATTTCGTGAGAAAATTCGGTGCCGCCGTGTCCATTTGCGGCGGTTTATTACGTAATTAGATTTCTCACACACTGCAAATATAGTATTACGTAACATATGGCAAACAAAACATTCACATCGAAATACGTCATCACAATTTATATCATAGTCTTGCGTTTAACGTCTGAACGCTTGTGGCGTCGCATTACTATTACGCAATTTTTGCCAAATTTCTACGTCATATTTAGCGAATGTCGAGCGTAATGTATAATAAATAGTAGACATTTCGGTTGCTGCCCAGAACATGTTAGAAAAGCGAAAATGGGGGTTGCTGGTCGAACTTTTGTCGTGGCTACAAATGTGTTGACTTTGGTATGCTATAAATAGCGGTTATAAGTAATATGTGGTAAATTCTTATAAATTTATCTCATGTTGGCTCGTTTGTAATTTTTGTGTAGTTGGCAGGTTTCTTTCTTGTAACCTTTGGACTTTACGAGCTATTATCGCCTGATGCACGTCTATATTCGAACGCTCTCCCTCTAGGGATAACCATTATTGGTGCGTTGGTGATTTTAGTGTCGATCGCAGGATGCTGTGGTGCGCTTGTGGAGAGTAAACCAGTGTTGATTACCGTATCCTTGATGCTTATCAGCAACGAACCAACTGTTTAACTCGAGAATTTTATGATTCGTGTTTTAATCCTTGATTCTTGGAAACGATTTTAGTATTTCGGTGTTCTGCTGATATTAGTCATCATTCAAACAATAGCTATCCTATTAGCTCTGGCTAATACAAAGCATGTACGTACGATTGGGTCGATCGTCCATATAATCGAATACGGACTTACGTATTTTGAATCTTTAGGTTGAGAATGCTGTTGACGCCGCTTGGGACAAAGCGTATAGAACGCGTCCCCGAATAATCCGTGACATTGAAAACGAATATTCATGTTGCGGATTCCGTAGCACGACCGACCGTGCAGTTCCATCAAATTGCGCTAATAACACATATTACGGTTGGGATAGACCATGCTATGATAGTTTGCGGGATTCTTATAAACATCACCAATATATGTGGGGCATTCTTGGTATTTTCTTGGTTGCGATCCAGGTAAATAATTTGCACTTAATATTGCGAGTTATGGTAAATGTCAAGGTTGAACAGGATGTAACAGATTTTGTATCGCTAGATTATGGCATTGATTTGCGCTTATCTTCTCATTCGACGTATTCCGAATGCGTGGATGCGTGAGTCTGACTATAGAAGAGAACATGAGCGACTTGTCAACCAGGGGCGTGGTAGAAATGTAGGGTATAGGGACGAGGAAGCTCCTAAAACATATGTTGCGCGACCCGTTGCGCCATATGGCAGCACGGGTTAAGAGGGGAAAAAGTCTATATAGACAGTAACTTATGTAGTTGTATTTGTGGCTGTTGCTATTAGATAAGCAACAGTGCGTACAGCGTTTGATATTCCACAAAATGAACAATAATTCGAATTCCGTTTAGGGGTGTCTATTACTAAGACAATGACAAATCGAATGCAATTTGTTGAATTTTGCGTGATTAGTAATCATAATGACGTCCACAATAATATAAAAACGTATTCATCAATATTCACCATACCTAAATTCAATTGTATCAGCATGCCAGCTACTGTACGTAGGTTTTTCCTTGTAGAATTTTCTGTGTATACATTTTTCATTAACTGGGTGTGTTCTCGCAATGTCTCATAATGCAGAACACTTACAAGTTTAACGTAACCATGTCGTGCTCCGGCTGTTCGAATGCAGTCAACAAAGCGTTGAATAAACTCGAAGGTAAAGAAGCAATTATCAATGCTGTAGCTTAATTGTTATTGGATTGGAGATAAAGACATGCGCATTTTTGACTGCTAATGTCACAATGGCCAATCTTTTTTGTATTCGTTGTCAAGTGTTCTACATGCAGGCAATTATTTAATGATTTATTATACACACTTGCGTAGGTGTCGACAAGGTCGATATTAGCTTGGAAGAGCAGACGGTAATCGTCGAGACCAGCCTATCACAGGAGAAAATCTTTGAAACAATCAAAAATACCGGAAAAGCTGTAAAACCGCTATCATGATTTCAGACTATACAGGCCGTATGATTGTTAACGGAAGCATCGCCAATTTGTGAGCGAGCCAAGCTTGATAGAATATTTATATTGACTTGCAAGTACAATCAACGTTTGTAATGTTTGCGGTATTTATACTGCAAAAATTTTTATTCAGATCCTAAATACAACTCTTTTGTGTTCGTTTAAATAAATGTCATCGCTATTATTTTGATTGCTCCTGATTGACCTTGTTTATAAGGGTAGGAATAATACTTGGGTCTGCCAGCGTACTCAAATCACCAAGTTGGTCCGACTCTCCAGCAACGACTTTTCGCAAAACTCTTCTCATAATCTTACCACTCCTAGTCTTTGGTAAATCAGGAACAAGATAAATTTTCTTGGGAGCAGCAAATGTGCCAATTCCTTTCTGCACCTGCAGAACTAGTTCTTTAACTTCCGTATTTTCTCCTCTAGCTTTAAGAGTAACAAATGCATGTACCGCTTGCCCCGTGATTTCATGAGAAACCCCGATAGCTGCCGCCTCAGCTACTCCATCGTGCGCGACCAAAGCCGATTCAATCTCGGCAGTCGACAGACGATGTCCGGATACATTGATAACATCATCAACTCTACCACGGATCCAGTAGTAGCCATCCTCGTCTCTGCCGACCCCGTCGCCTGTGTAGTAATAGCCCTTATAAGGTTTCAAATATGTGTCAAGATACCGATTATGATTATTATAAACTGTTCTAGCCATTGATGGCCATGGCTGCTTGAACACAAGCACACCCTCAACACCATTTCCATGCAATTCTTCTCCACTAGTAGGATCCAATATGACTGGATCAACACCGAAGAAGGGCACAGTTGCTGATCCCGGTTTAGTGGGAATGGCACCCGGCAGTGGTGATATCACGATTGAACCAGTCTCGGTCTGCCAGTACGTATCTACGACTGCACATTTACCCTTTCCTACAACTTCGTTATACCACTCCCATGCCTCGGGGTTAATCGGTTCTCCAACGGAACCGATCACACGTAAGCTAGACAAATCATGCCCTTCTACGTGCTGATGGCCAAGACGACGGAGAAGACGGATTGCAGTGGGAGCAGTGTAAAACTGAGTAATCTTGTGTTTTGCTACAACCTCCCAATATCTGCTGGGCGTAGGGTAAATTGGTGTGGATTCAAAGACAACAGTGGTGCCGCCGTAACAGAGAGACCCATAGACGATATAAGTATGCCCAGTAATCCAACCGATATCTGCCATGCATCCAAAAACGTCTCCCTCATGATAATCAAAGACGTATTTGAAAGTTATCGCGGCTCCTAATAAATACCCTGCGGTCGTATGTAATATACCTTTAGGTTTCCCTGTTGAACCAGAAGTATATAATAAGAATAACGCATCCTCCGAATTGACAATTTCTGGTGGACAATATGGCCTCTGCTTCTCAATCTCTTCGTGCCACCACAAGTCTCTTGGCGATTTGAATGGTACGTCTGACCCTGTCCTTTGGTATACTAACACATGTTCTACTGTAGGGCACTCTTTCAACGCTTCATCGACAATTTTTTTGATATGAATCGTCTTTCCACCTCGTCGCCCCTCATCAGCAGTGATTACCAATTTACTAGAAGCATCTCGAATACGATCACGTAGTGCTTCGGCCGAGAAACCAGCAAACACGACCGAATGAATGATTCCCAGGCGAGCACATGCAAGGAAAGCGATAATAGCTTCGGGGACCATTGGCATATAGATTGCAACAGTATCGCCTTTGCGCAGTCTGTAAGATTTGAGAGCATTAGCGAGACGACCTACATCTCGGAGAAGCTCACCGTATGTTATAGTGCGATCATTTCCTGGCTCATCGCCCTCGTATATGATCGCAACCTAAAGTAGACAAAAAAAGCGTAATTAACTTTCAATGCTTTTAAATCTGGTAAAACTCATCTGTTTGAATACTTGTATTTACTTTGTCAGGATTGGCGAGGGCGTGCCTATCAACACAATTGTAAGATGCGTTCAGTTCGCCTTCAGGAAACCATGCGATATCTCCGTAATCAAACCCACCAGAAAGAACAGTTTCGAATGGTTTGTGCCAATGAAGGAGTTCTTTAGCCAACTGTGAGAATGTGATTCAATTGAATGCGATGAGACAATGAAATTTTGAACGTAGTTGACTTTTTTTTTTTTTAGAAAATGGCTGGAGCGCACATTTATCGTGACTAGTTAAACTTTCATCTGCTTTCATGTAATATTAAGGGCATTCCATTAATAAATCAATTCCCACACTTACGCTTCCGACCCTATAATACACTTACTTGTCCCCAAAAGGCTTCAGGTTCCATAATACTTTTCCTGTACATTTTTTGATAAGCCTCGAAAGAGTCGATGTGAGGCTTAGGTGGCACTTTCTTTGCATCTAATAGTCGTTCGGGCACGGGGTGAATCTTGGAATGTTCGGTAGACATTGTCGGCAGAATATTTCGAGAGTTGCCAAGAACAAAAAATTCATTAACGATGAGATGGCACAAAGTATTTCAGGGGCTGAATTTGGCGAACGCCACAGTTATACGAGGGTTACAATCAAGTTTCCCAACAAAACGTGTTCGACGCGATTATCACCATACAACAGATGCAAGGTGTTGCTCAGTCCCTTTATTTGTAGGGAATATGAAAAGTCACTCGTTTCAACGATTTATTGCCATCCATACTATCTATTTGCACATGAAAATATTATTCAGTTTGACTGCGGTAAATATAATATGTCGCACGAGATCAAAACACGTCCATGAGAAGTTGATGACAATGTGTAACGAAGAATGATCATCCGATTTTAATAACACTCTTGTTTTAATATTAAGAGAACTTTATTGACATAAACAGCATAGTACATTATAATTAATTCTTTCACCGGGTCTAGTTCATTTCCCCGACAATTATTCCCAATAAATATTTCGGCACTAAGATAAAATTGTCGGAAATAATTGAACGGACAGGGAAGTGAACTGTCGGGGAAATGAGGTGTCGGGAAGTGATTGCCGGGGAAATGAACGGCTTCCTATAGTTATACCACATAAAATCAAAGGTTATGGATGCATGATGTAATCGTGATTGCTACTATAAATTCTAAATCTGATTGACTAACTCGTAGTTGAATCACGAATATTTTGAAAGGGCATCATCAAAGTGGAATATTACTGATTTCTTGGAAGAGTGCGACCGTAGAATCATATACTACATCTCTTGAGATTATTGCTGACATGAAGAACGGCAAAAGAAGTGATAAGGCACGTCTGTTATTAAATGACTATAGGAAGGCAAGCATGAGTCTTTTTCTTTGAAAGCATAATAATAAGTGGCGTTATAAGGTCCTTAGAGAATCCTATAATTCAAGACTTCGGGTTCAGCCATACAGCTAGTGTTGGACCACCAGGTAACTTCGGGGTGACCAACACTAGCCCCTCTGGGACATTGGGTAACTTTGGGTTCATCTGATATTCAAGTCTTCGGGGCAACCGGTGGGACATATACCAGACAAAGGATTGTAAAAGTACTAGTTGAGAGAATATTACTAATTTTTCTTTTGCCCTAGGGTAAACGGCCGATTGTAAAGTAGCGCGAAAATGGAAGAAAACTAAGGAGCACGGCTCAGCCAGTGGACCCTCGTTTACAATTTCGGGCACTGTAGTTGGACATGTTGGGTTCAATCAATGAACTTTTAATTTCGATATCGGTAATTTCTTTCAAGGACCTTCTAAACAAAAAATATCAAATGCAATTAAAAATCGGAAAACATAAACAATAAACGAGAAAATTCCAACGAAACAGATAAAAAAAGGATGAGGTATGGTTATATGTAATTTATATGGAATTTAGGGATTTAGATCTATTTGATTTGATTCTTATTTATTCTTAAAGTGCAATTCATTTTTTTGTATAGAATTTAAATAAAAGCTTATATATATATAACTTTGCTAATTCTCAATGCGATTAAAAATGATGCTTGTAATATTGCTAGAGCTCGTAATGGTTTAATATTTCTACACCATTAAGATGGAAGTGTTCTAAAAATCATGAATAGGATGCTCCACCTAATAGAACAATATATAAATATACTTGGTGCCCTGTTTGTGCAAATCGGCATTTTTTTCATTTTGAAATTGCTAAAAAGATTGCTATAAATAGAGATGGATTATGCGTTTCTATCCAATGTACGGCTACCAAAGGATTATTAGAGTAGATGCTCTAAGGTCATGAATGGTCAGCGACCTATAACAATGACTGCCCGTGCTAATACGTGCACTTGTAGACCATTTTCAAACCCATCCCATGTCTGATCGACACCGTACGTTGATGGATAGGGTTGCACGTCGGAGGTTGATGAGCGACCAGCTCAGTAGTATCGTCGTGGTCAATTATTATATTTATGATATTTATTATAGGAGGTATAAGTTTCGGTTGTTGTTGGTGAGACGAGGTCGCTGATTGTTGTTGGTGAGACGGAATAGTTGCTCCATTTCTTCAATCGCAGTTAATACTTGAGGTTTATTTTTTGGTGTCCACCATGGTTCAGTTTAATCGATTTTTTTATATATTTCCTATGCAAAATAGTTAATTTATATGTCATTTTTTTTTGATGTCAAGATAGGAAAAAAAATAATTTGCCAATCAACCAACTTTTAGTACTTACCATTACATGGTTAATTTTTATTGTTGATTTTAACTTTCCGACGTGAGCCAGTTTTGTTGGTAACTCGAATGTTGAACCGGGAAAGAACATAAAAGCCATGTACCATGTCTTCTATCAACAGCTGTCCGAAAACGCCAGCAAATTGTAACAATGGAACTTTGATTGTATCCACTTTATTGTTTTCAAGTCATCGAGACCTGATGCAAAAAGCATTAGCCGTCATCAGCTATCATGCTAACTTACTGTTTAGTCGGTCCAGCAATTAAGCTTTCAGACAGATGCAAAAAGCATGTTGAGACATGAAAAACGCCGCCGTGACTGTACAAGTCTTCGAGCGATGTCACTAGTCAGTTCGGTTCAAGAAACCTGCTTGAATGTCATAACGTCGGTTCGTTCGGTCCTAAAATAAGAATTATAAAAGAATGAGTGAACGAATCCTCGCGTCAAGGACCAAAGAAGAACGTTTCACAACAGACGTAAAATACGCAAGTTGCGGCCACGATGCGCTTTCAATGCTATGGTCCATGTACCCTATTCACCACACAGTCCGAGTTACATCACCTTTCGGAACGGATATCGAACGTTCACATGCAGTAAAATCGTACCAACTCAGGTCGACAGCGCAGCTATGTTACCCAGCGACGATTGCCGGAACCACGATTGCCAAACGTATCCTATTCACCACAGGAAGCCAAATTTGGCTTGACTTTTTTTCGGTAACAGGGGTTTTGTTGAATAACCGCGATTTACTCCTAGTGGCAGCGTCCCTTCGGATACGTATCCCGAAAGGTAAACGATCCACAACATGTGGCCCGATGCGCTTTCAAGATATCCGATTTTTACACCTAAGGGCATTGAGTAAACGGTCTTGGTTGAGATTTTTCAACGTGTCATGACGGACGACTAAATGAACAATAATAACGCGCGTCTTGCACAGTAAAGGGGTTTAAAGAAAGAACAAGATTGAGTTATCGAAAAAGAAAATTTTTTTGTTATGCCATTTTATGTAATACAAGTACACGTCATGCGATCACCTGTTTCAACCAGATGATTAGAAATTAGTATAAAACCAACATTATATTACCCTTAAAAAACAAACTACACTTAATCATATTGTAACATACTATCGACAGCATAAGTTTATTATCTACAAAAAAATAACAATCTCAATCTCATGTTCACTTTCACTATTAAAATCTGTGAGTTACTACTGCCGATTACACTTAGCTTTATCATAAACTCCGAACTATAACTCAAACACTTTTCAAGCAATAAATTCAAGAAAGATTGAAACAAGATATCAACTGCTTCATTGAGTGAAAATATTTACCAAGCATAACATATTTGTGGGAAGGTCTCAACAAGTTATTGAGTTGGACCCAGTCTTATTTATGAAAAAGCATTATCGCTCTATAATCCTGTATGCAGTACCGTTTCCTACAAACATGTAAAGTTTAACTGTTTGAAACTTGACGCGCCTGTCATTATCGTGAATATTCCTTCTTTCTTTGACAAAACTAATATTGGCGAACTAATTAGACCTTGTTTTTGAGAGCTGTTATTTAAGGTCGATCGGTAGCACTAATACTAACCTTAATTCGAAAACTATGTCATATGATCATAAAATTGTAATTAAATATTTTATCCTGCCATGGGTCAAATTCTTAATGGAAACTTTACCCTCAAACAAGTCCAAAAGAACTTCAGAAAAAACTAAAGGCTCAAAAAAAAGATCCCACAAAAAGCGCAAAAAATCTGATAGAAAAAATAAGAATCAGGAAAAGGAAAGATCGAGAAAAAGGCAGCGACAAGAACGTAAAGAGAGGGATACAGAAAGTACCAGCAGTGATTCTTGCTCGAACACAGACGAAGAGAGCGAAGCCATATGGGTGGAGAAGAAAGTAGAGTTATCTCACGAGGTGGAGAATTACGAGCAAAAAAGTAAGAAATTATCCCTGTGACAGCTATATCAATGATCTTGTTTGGCTAACAGCTCGTCATTTCTGTTTTGAGTACCGTCCGGCTCACCGTCAGATGATGGCATACCTTACCGCACACAACTAATACCATCAGTGGCTCCACGATTAGCCTCCAATCCGACCTTATCAGCAGATGAACTGAACAGACTAAAAGCCAAAGCTTTGCGCGCCAAACTCACGAATTCGCCAAACGCCGAAGAATTAGAAAAGAAATACGAAATGGAAAAAAAGCGAGCTGAGGGAAATGTACGAATATAAACGGGTTGCGAAAAAAGCTTACAGATTTAAAACATACAAGTCTAATTTACGGTTGTTTATCTCGATATTTAACGAATAGAATAAAGTGGAAATTGTACCGATAGTCGACAGTAGGGGAAGGTTATACGATACAACTAATCCTTCTGCATCGTCTTCATCGCTTCAACACGCTGGTTCGCCGCGGCAAAAACGAAAAGAAAAGGTTAAATTTCGACACATTTATTTGATTTCCACTCCTGCACTTATCAATATGTATTTATGTTCACATTTTGCCTTCATTCAAGATTGATACACATGATGAAACTGGGAATCGAATTCACTACTTCAAAGACGATGACAAGCTTCAGCTTCAACATCTCGTTATGCAAGAACGTCTGGGAACGGGAAAATCAATGGACGCGCAGATGGCTGGGAGGATCATGGGTGATAAAAAGTTTGAGGTTCGTAGTCTGTAAATTAGATGTGTGTATCTTGTGGGATTAAGTTGAGAATTGACTTAGATGGATTTTATGAACCTCCTTTCCGTTTATAGGATGATTTGGATTATTTGGATGAACATGCAGATAAGATGGCAAGAGGAAAGGAACAGACTATCGAGCAAAAGCGACAGTTTGCTATTCAAGGTGTGAGTGAATAGCAAGATGATACTTTTTACATATATTCTCGTCATCTTCTTATTCGTTCTCCTATTCCCTTTTCTAGACTTCAAAAAATCTCAGGATTTCATCAATTCTTGTCCTTATTGTTTTGGCCAAGACAAATCGCCTGTTGCACCTATGGTGTCTCTCGGAACAAAGACGTATTTGGCCCTCAGCACTGTAACCGAAATGACTTCTGGCCATTGTCTTATTGTACCGATTCAGCACTGTTTAACAACTTTGGAACTTGACGATGATACTTGGGATGAGATTAGAGTATGTTGAAACGGGACTTAGCGTGTAATATCTTAAATTCCATAAAACGTCAGATTTCACGCTTACTTGCTCACACGTTTAGCTTATGGTTTAATAACTTATACCTCCAATCATACAGAACTTTATGAAATGTCTGATACAAATGTTTCACTCAGAAGACCGTGGCGTACTGTTTTTCGAAACCGTAATATCTTTCAAATATCAAAAACACGCCATAATTGAATGCATTCCACTTCCTTGGAATCTGTCTCAAGACGCTCCGGCATTCTTCCGAGAAGCAATATTGTCTACTGCCGGTGAGTGGACGCAGAACAAAAAGATAATCGATACGGCGAAAGGCTTTCGAAATAAAATGGTGAAGGATTTGCCGTATTTTCATGTGTGGTTTAATGTTGATGGGGGAATGGGTCACGTTATTGAGAACGCGAAGAAATTTCCGGAATGGTTTGGCAAGGTGAGTCAGAAGGATGCCGTTGTCTTCAATCCCTTCGATATGACAGCTGATCAGTGAAATCATGTAGGAAATCGTCGCAGGAATGTGCGATCTTCCGCCGGATCGCTGGCGCAAGCCCAAGAAACTGAATCCTCGCGATAAACATAAACGCGTACAAGAATTTGTGAAGAAATGGAAAAAGTGGGATTGGACGCAAATGCTAGAAGGCGGTGAATATTAGAATAAAATGTACAAGTGCGGCGACTTGTTACGTATTATAACACGACAAAAGTGAGTCAGGAAGAAAGAAAGTTGTTTGTCTTTTTGTATGCTAACGTAAAGAAAATTGTCTAATTCTTGGGGTTTAATGTATCAAGGTCATTAATAGTGTGTTACGAATATTCTATTACTTGGCAATGGCAATCAACTGCTCGAGTACTTTTACGGTCGTATTCGTATCTTTCAACAAGAAGAACTAAAAATGTCATAATTAATGCCATTAAAATATTTTACAATTGACTAGACCTTGCGGCTTTATATTCCACAATAACTTACTTTCGCTTTCCCCTCACCAGCCAAATAAATCGTATTTGTCCCAATGCGCGAGAGTACTAATGAAGATAATTTGATTCGTGATATGTGAAAGATATGATGTTCGATGGCTTGCATGAGTCCTACTCAAGCGGGAGAAAAGTGTTACATCCTAAAATTGGATTCAATAATACACATAATGATTGGATAATTACTCCCGTCTGTTTCTGAGGATGTCGTACACCTGTGTTGGGAAAACGAATTATGGGTATTTGTGAGTATTACATCTCTTGCAAGTTGGATGACGTGTACACTTACCCGTTGTATATGCGTTTAACGTCTTCGAATGGTATATTCACAGTCATGGTTTTTAGCTCATCAATATTTGGAAGACTGTAACTCAGTTCAAGTGACTTGACATTATTTGCTTCAAGTTGCTCTAAGAAATTACCATGAATGTTTTTGTATTACCTTACAAATTTCCAAATCCAACAGTCAATCCAGTTCTCTTACCCTGTCCGAATGCACTCTTCGCCCACTCTTCAGCAATAAATCTCAATTGTGCCGATTGTAATCTGTATCGACATATTCTGCAATCAAACCTTGTCTGAAGCCATTCGAAAATAATTTCAGCCAACTTCGGCGGCGCCTTAATAAGAAGCATTGGGAAGCGAGTGAACATGGCTAGGCATGTGAGAAACGATTTCCGACATAAAAGAATTGAGTTACGAAATCAGCGTTAAAAAATAGATCTTATGCGTAAAAGTAAAATGTGGGTGAAAGGCAACTTACGATCGTCTTCGGTCGCGTCATTCCCATCCTCATCCCCACCCTCATCCCCATCCCCATCCCCATTTACGTCAGGCAAGAGAATCACGTAAAACACTTGATCAGCCGTACGCCCTTGCATTGCATATCAATTACTATCAATTAAGTTTTAATATTCATTGAAACTCAAGAATTTTTTACCTCGCGGTTTATACATGATTTCTACTATCAACGGACTCCCAGCCAATCCTATTCAGATCGCCTGTTAACGAAACGATGCCACATATAATCATAATCCATTCATATACCTGTCCATTCGGAAGGATTAATCGTCGTAATTTGGACACTGATTACACGTCCGTTAAACATATCGGCCTCCTCTTCCGTAATCACAGTAGTTGAATCTGTCATTTGTGCAACCATAAACGCGTAGAGTTCTTCCCCATACTTTGTCAAACTATTCCTTTGGAATTTATATAAAGGTGTGCATCGATGTAGAGAGAAAGTTTTGTTCGCAAGGATGTCTTGTGGGAAATGGATTCGGCAGTTAGCACATCTATGCACGAAAAAAGAAATGCGAATCATATCATATATGTTAGCATGTTCGAAAATCAAATATGACTCACCAATATTTCGCTGGATTGCGATGTCGGACATGTATAAACTCGAATAAAATCGCCTGGAGTGTAACTTTTATATAGTAGCAACTTCGGTGAAGAACCAAAGATATTAATACCGTATTATAAAATTGTTTATTATGATTCGCGTCACGAAAATTTAACGCCACCGAAAGATCTGAGTTCCGAGTGTCACCGATGATCTTGCCCTATTTTTGTCTCGATACGCCACCAGGATAATATACAAAATATATCGCTATTACATGACATACATATAGACAAAAAATTCTAACTACTCGTTAGGGAAGAATTCAGGCGACTGAGTGGCAAATGTCAATTCTTGATTGATACTATTATCCTTTAGCTCCTTGATAAGCTTTGCGGAATCACTCTCCTCATTAGATGTCTTCTTTTTTTGCTAGACGACTTAGTGTGTCTGATTCGTTATTTCCGGATCTAGAACGTTTTTTCTGGGCGGCACTCGAAGCCTGTTCTACTGGAAACATTTCCAAATCTTCGGCTGATGGGCAGGTGGGAGACAGTCATAACGCGCACAGGATAAAAAGATAGTGTCTTCGGCCTGAAAAAATATTAATTAGGAAAAACAACAATGTCAAGTTTTCATTCGCAATACATATAAAATTCGGGAATATAACATGATGGTAATGCTTCTATGCTAATGACTTAGCCGGTGTTTTTACATAAACCAAATCACGTACCGAAAAGAAATAAGTGTTTCTATGATTAGAATTATGTAAAATGTTATACTGTATGTGGTAGAGTTTTCGGCTTAACCTTCCCAAACTCTTACTATCGTTCCATATACACTATAAATTTCAAATTCTCGAAATACGCCCTTCACCAGCTGAATCTTCAAAACATATTGGAAAACGCGTCTATCCAAATTTATTACGCTCACTTACCAGTGGCACCGGATTGCTCTACGATAACGCAAATGTGTTTTTTGGGCGAGTTTGACGATAAGAAAAGCGCAAGAATTCTGTTTTATGATTGTATAACAGACAGGTAAATCATAGAAATGAGTAATAAAGATTATGAAAATAGTTGTGTTGAAAGACGTCTGTTGAAAACACACGAGGCGTAAACAAATTTTATGATAGAACTTACTTTGGTTGTTTAAATTATTAATCAAGTTGACAAGCTTAGCTCTTGTCCCGTTCGAATGTTACATTTATCAAACCTCACTTCGTAGAAAGCTAACACCATCAAATCCCCTGATCACAAATAATTTGATTTTCATTTTCGTTAAGGCCAAAGTTTTTTTCCATTTAAGAAAGTGATAAGTGCGTCCTTCAACTCCTTCTACCAATGGTTCAGTGTAAGAATAAATCAAAGTTGAAAATTTACACTGCGATTCTGATAGAGTTTATAACTGTCAAATAGTAAACATGTTACTATTGAACAGAAATAAAAAAGGTAGTTACTATCATAATTGTTACAAGTCTTTATTGTTATAAAAGTTGTGCACTAATACAATGTTTATGAGGCGTCCTTCAAAACTTAGCTGTTTCTCTATTGCATCTGCCTCATCCTCTTGGATGCAGAATTTCATATAACTCCCATTACAAATTTCCTTATACTCCCACTTTCTAGCATTATTTACAATGTCTTCCGAATGATCTTAGTCTCAGTCAATATCTTTAGTCACATGATATTCAGATGATGATCAACAACTTCTAGAATTCCTATTGGTCCATCTGATCTATTGATCCAAATTATTATATTACGAAAAACAACAACAAACAAACGACAACAACGACAACAACAACAACAACAACAACAACGACCACGACACCACGGCCATTGGGAATTAAACGAGGACTCGGTTCGTCAGCAAGCAAACTTCATGGCAGGCATCAGTGATCAAGCGTCATTAAACGCTTTTTGGAAAAATATTGCAAAGAAGGAAGCAGAAATGTCCGTGGATTTTTTACTGGAAGATGAAGTGATAGAACCTAGGTCCCCAATATCCGTATGCGACTTCTTCCACCAACGAAAGAGCACCACTCCAACTGACTTCACTAAAACGCCTGAACGACAATTGATGCATCACGATCGATTCACCACGCCTGACTACGACGACACAGAGATGAATGATTCGCTCAGCCCACTCTTGCATAAAACCACTATCCCTGATTATTTCGCTCCTATCGACGATCAAAACAACTGTCATAAGAGATTACAAAGATTTACTAATATAAGCAAGGTAAAGGTATACGAGTCTAGAAAAATCAAAAAATCAGGGAAGATGATTACAAAAAACAGTAAACATAAACAATCACCTGGGACAATACAAGTGCTTCGAGCTGCTCAATGTTCACTGGGTGAATTGCGTCGATTGAAGGAAACCTGTGCTATAGAAAACGTGAGTTTGTTTAAAATGAGTTGCTGTTATGGAATAGATAACCACTAACTCATTTCCTATAACACAGCCCTTCCTCTGAACATCTGTAATCAGACGTAATGGATGAAGTACTAATTGCGAACATGAACCGTTTTACTTGCTTTCTGGTAAACTCCAAAAAAGACTTCAGTTAAATACATTCACCATTATAAATCTATTATTGCTTATCATATATGCGTAGCTCGTGAATCTACCCATTCATGTAAATTTAATTACTTGTATGGACATTAATAAAAATTATAATCGAACAAATGTATGCGAGTCCGGTACATTTTTGTTAGTTTCAACCGTTTTCGGATCGGGGGGCGAAATTAGCTAGCGCCGTTGCTGCTGATCTTACTTTTGGATCATAGTGGTTCTTGGATGATATAAAAGATCTCATGAATACGACACGTATTATTCACAGTCGACAATAGATCATTTGTATTTACCTCGAGTAAGCATAACTCCCACAAATTAGTAGCAAAGGGATTACACAATTCAGGCTCGTCCAACTCGGGCATATATATTCCATTGCTCGACAAGTCGTCTGAATCCAACAAGGCGTCTAGACGTTGCTGTTTCTGTAGTGTTTAAAAAAAGTTGACGAATCTAAACCACCATACATGAGGGAAAAGCAAAAAAGAAGCGCTATCATAATTACCTGAATCAATCTCTGTATTGTGTTCAGACACAAAAGCACAGTCTCGCTAGGCCAATTTAAGCAAGATGTTGACAACCGCTTTATGAATGCCGCGGATCGGTCAAGCGGTATCTGAAATATCACGAAAAATATAATAATGAGATGCAGCAGAATGTGGCGTTAATGAATGAAATAAACATTTACCTGTCTTCTTCGGAAGAATATAAAATCTAGCCCTTTTCTCAACATCTCCAACTCGGTATCCGTCCCCGTTGTGTGTGCGGACTTGTTCTTTTGAGAGTTTACGACACTCATATCATTTCTACTTTCTATATTCGGATTTAATGCAAGTGGGAAGAGTACTGCATAAAAACTTGTGTAAAAGTCCTTTAGATCAATATTCAACGCTTCGCCTGAAAATTAATATTGTGTAAGAACGTCCCTTTCCACAAAAAAACCTTCGAAGATGGGTGGTCTCGTAAGAGATACCATATTCTTTATGATTTTTAGTGATAACATACCCTGACCGGAAAGTAGTTGGAATGCTGTTATAATGCATAATAGAGTACGCCTGGTATCACTCATTGGAACATCGTCGTCGTCATCGGTAACCTCTCCGTTTGTCTCAGTCACAATTTTTCGAAGCACGTTAAGTAAGTCGTCGAAGAAATCTACATTTATCAAATGTGCGAACCTACAAGCAAGTAACCATAAATAATAAGAAACGGTAAGAGAATCGAAGGAACTACGAATTACGGTTCATACTTTGCCAATCCTTCGAGTACTGGCAGCAGCAAAGGAGACGTGTTGGCACGTTTCAGAATGCGAAAATATGTTGCAAAAACCAGCTTCAAGGTTTCTGTTTGCTAAATAGTCGGCTAGCAGTTAATTCATGCTAGATATCTCAATAAAACATGCTACTACTCGCTAACCATTTTCTCTTTTTCCTCTTTATCAACAACGGCATCGGCCTCTTTCATTTCCTTTTCAATCAGCTTCTTTTCCTTGGCAATTTTTCTCATTTTTTTTGACAAATGCACTTTGTCACCTTTCCTCTTTTTTTTATTTCTAGCTACATCAGTATTGTCGTCTTTTGCAACAGAAAGCTCGTCTTTGAGACGGAGATGAAGAAATGTGTTTAAAACCTTCCAAAGATACAACGTCAGTAGAGTATGACAATAAACAGCAAATGGAACAAGATCGTTTATAAAATAGTTACTTCGGGATGTACAGCATATTCTCTTGATTTGATCATCTTGGACAATAGCCTTACGGCGTCAAGGCTAGCTTCCCCAGATACGTCGTTCTGAAATACTTTAATGATGGCTTTTTGGCAAATGGAAAACATCTGAAAGTTGGGTACCGTGAATCAGTCTTTCAGCACAGTAATAAAGTCAGCAATAAGTACATACTGCTTTACCTATTTGAATTACATACCTCATTAATTTTACTAGTACTCATTCTGGTTATAACTGCAGTCAATAAATTCAGTCGAAAATTAAAATGTGTGACGGACATCAAGAGATCACACATGCATTGCATTGCGACCAAGGCGCTTGTTTCCTTTGCATTTTGTTTATTGGTCGTACCAGCTAATGTCAATCTTTGATTAGTATCCTCATCTTTTACGTTTGTAATTTATTTCTTGTGTATTACCATACCTTTTACTTCGTTACTAAGTAATTGCAGGTACGCTTGATAATTGACCAACAGAGTCTCTTCATAGTGTCTTAGTTTTTTGACTTCGTTTGTCACCTTTCATTACGTCAAAATGATTAAAACGATTCATTTTCTAGTCTTTCAAAATCGTGAAAAAAAAGCGGTTTTTGATATGCATACCCGAGCGGCCTTTTCCTTCTCTGTCACCTTGCGTATCCGATATCTGCAAACGTATTTTGTCGACTTATTAGGCATCGTATCCAGTTAATGCAAGCTAACTGTATATTCCCAAACCCGTTTTTTTCTGTACACATCAAAGCATACTGTGAATCATCAATGACGTACCCCGGAATAATATCTTTGTAAACAGCCAACTGAACCCGTATACTCATTTTCTTTACAGTTAAATTCTTGTCGTTTGCAATTTCGCGCAATTTTTTCAATCGCACAATCTAATACGAATTCCAATATGTGATATTAATTTATGATGACTAGAATTTGTACCATATATCATAAAAAGATTGACTTTTGCAAAACTAGTATTTCCCTACTTATAATATATTATTATAATGACACGAACGTAGACGTAGAAAACATACGTTTTGTTCCGGATCCGCAATTATTGCTTGCGAAATTTCAGCAAGTTCTTCTTTTTTTGAATTATATATTGTTCCTTTGATAGCTTGGATTTTGGTATTTCTTTGATGCTTGGCTCAATCGACAGTTTTTCGAGATTAACTTTGTCATCAATGGTCGACGCATGCTCTAAATCTTGGCCTCCTAATTCATTTCTATCAACGTTCTCTTTAAAATCAAATTTAATGACTAAAAAATTCGCCGATCGAAGCATTGCGTATGAAAAGATTACAACATACCTTCATCTGCCGCGATAATCTGTATCTTTCCATCAGGTAGCTTAATCGGTAACTTTTCATTCTCTTTCGTCCATGATTTCCCTATTTTCCTCGGTGCTTTTTCATATTCTTGCTCTTCGTCTGAATGATTCATAAAAGTTTGCTTCACTTCATAATCTTCGTCTTCAGAAGTGAGTGGAGTCGTATCAATCGACCTGTTATCCTCATGGGTCGAGCGAATCATAGGCACATTTGTTTCCTTTGCTGGATTTCTTAAAGAATGAAAATAAGTAAGTAGTTTTTTTTTTAAAACATAATATTAAAGATTTAAGCATTACTTACTTATGCAGAGCAATTGCGTCGAATGTATTGAGAAACCCAGCAAATTGTCTATGCTCTTTGAAAAAATCAATGTCTTCTTCTCCAACTTCTGTCTCTTCAACTCCTTCAACTATGGGCAATACATTCGGTATTCTGGACTGCAAGATCAACGCAATTGTTAACTATTGAAATGATAATAATCGGGTTCTGCAGACACTAACCAAGGACTTCGCTTTCATTTTTCTTTTTATTTTAGACGTTTGAGGGGCCAATGACTTGACCTTTGAGGATCTGTGTTTTTTTGATTTGCTTTTAGGCATGTTCGTTGAAATGAATCAATGTACAGAGAATTCTGTTAAAAAGAAATTTTTATGTTTGTGGAACAATCCGGGTATAATTATAAATAAATTACAATGCGCGTCACAACTTAGATATATTCTGATACTACTTTCTTAGCTTGCACGGGTCCACGCCTTGTATTAACATTATAACGCAGACGAGTTTGAACATTCGAGCGACTTAACCTTTGACCGTTTGTACCTAACCCTAGGCCTGCGGTCAGCAACATACAAGCAGGAGACGAATTGCATTGGAGTGGCTACTAATGTAACAAGAGCGACTAGAACGCGAACCCGCTCAAGCAAAGCGGAAGAAATACGGTGGCAGTGGCCGAGGTGAGGCGCCGCGTTGCGTAGGATTAATTTTGAGAGGGTCCTCATAGCGCGGGGAAATCTATTCCTTCAGGTGGAATAGGTGACTATTTCAGTATTTGTAGAATGGTTACTATATCCAAAGTTATGCTGCCATTAGGTGTAAATCGACCATAGCTTGCAAGACACCAGATGTATCTCTTGCTCTCGACCTCTGGGTTTTCGATTTATTTATTCATAACTCTGATACTATACAACAAAAAATACGCTTTATTTGCAAAACTGTGCTAAGAGCAACGAATTAACAAATTTAGGAAAATTTTAGTTACAAAAACGAACTTGCCCAGAGTAGGAGTTTGGCTCGAACCCACTTGATCCAATTATTGCCGTCGCCAATAGACACCTCAAAACCGATACCCCAGCTATTAATCTCATTGTACTCCACCCCTTCTTCCCAGCACCTTTTTAACATAATATGGCAAGATCGTTTCTGGTGCACCCGTATCAACCACGCACGTATACATTTTGTTATTTGGGTCCTGATCTGTCAAAAAGGCATGATCGAGAAATTTGCACTTGAGGTCAAAACTACCAAGATGTGTACTGCTGAGAACAAAAAAATTTTGTGTCACCAAAACGATAACCGACCATTTTCCTCGTCATAAAAATAATGTGTAAGCAGAGCGATTAAATTATTTTCACTAGATCTTCTGACGCGAACTGTGATCTGTTATTTGGAAAAATAACTTAGAATTGTAAACGGTTCTCGTCCATTACACATTCGAACCTTATAATCGGCTCCATTATTAGTACGCTGACTAATCACCATCTTCGCTGGCTTACTACATGGTAGACGTGTCTGATCGGATAGCACCAGGCATAGTCTCAAGAATGTAGTCCAATTGATCATCTGTCCAGCAAATTCGCCTTTGTCCAGTGCGTTGTAAAAAAATATGAAGTTAAATCCGATCTCGTCGTCAAATTCGAATTCAATGTCAGCAATTTTTCTAGGCATTCCTCCTGAAGCGTTCTGGCAGTTGCGAGCTATAAATATGTTAAAGAAATATTTTAGCATTAACCTTACTTAAAAAAACCCATTACCAAGAAACCTTTGCACTTGACCGGGCTCTTCCTCATATGCGAGGAGGGACTCCATAGTTTCGGGTAGGTTGGATATTGTACTACTAGTGGTAATTGGGAGCGTCAAGATGAAGGGCGTCAAGTGTGCCGATAACGTCTTGAGTTATGGTGTCTTGAGCCATGGTATCTTGATTGAGTGTCTCGAACATCATTAGTCTCGGACTGATCGCATGCTGTAGTGAGAATATTTGTTGACAGTTCAGGTTCGCAACCAGTTATTAACTATTTGAGTACAATATAACTCTGACAGTAACAAAAAAACCGAACCTTTCTTTTTGGAAAAACTTGGATACCCTATTTATAATTTTTTTTCCCCAATTTTTTTGGCAGGCGACAGAATTACGTTTTGGTGAAAATGGCGTTTTTAAGAAATATCAATCATGTGAACATCGACCTCATACAGTATACAAGTGGCTCTCGATATAAGAAAGTGATCGGGGTCCAACAAATTTCAATAACGAGACAAAAATACTTTCTTATATCGAAGCTTCTTATCTCGAAAGGTTCTTATATCCAGAGCCACTTGTACATGCAACACCTCGATCGTTTATTTATTCGTGCATGATTACGCATAACGCCTCGTTGAATGATAAAATATTCTATTGTCTTTCAGTCTCAAAGAGTTTATCAAAGTATCGTTGATAAGAATGTACGAGTAACATACTTCCGCGACTTAGCTTTTTTTGTCAATAATAATAGGAATATTAAGACCTGACATATTTGGTGATTTAAGGCGTTTAACGATTATAGTAATATGTGTTGATAGGGATATCAACGGAGTATGATATCAAATTTGATATATGCGATAGAATTTGAATATGTTCTGCAATTACTGTTGCTAATAGAGAGAGGTTGATATTAACGGGGTGGATATTAGAGAGGGTCGACTGTAATGCGAACTATAATAATAATAAGAAAGACGAGTTTGAAAATGTGTTCGTTATTAGAGATAACGTGGACAGTCGTCGTGACGATTCGTGCATTGTTAAAATAAAAACAATGAGCCGTTACGCCTAATTTTCCATATATGGTAATGAAAATAAGTTTGATTATGTCTTGGCAGGCACAGAGTACGTCACATTATTAGACAATCGGCTCAATTTTATATTAACTCAGCATTTGGCTTACAATTTTATGACCACAGGAAAGAATGTTAACAGTTATCGAACAATCAGTTGCGGAAGTTGACAACAACTTGGCGGTTAATGAGGACAGTTCAGGATGTCCCGCAATTGATCAGTTGATCGAAGCTTCGAAAATTTATGATGATGGAACCTTAAAAGTGGTTGACAATCTCGAATGGATATCTTATTCAAAATTTTCTGACATAAAACCAATTCAGGATTTTATCGAACCAAAAGTTTATCATGCCGTGTGCAATCAACCATATGGCAAATCCGTGGTGATGCTAGTATTAATGGGAACTAAGGATGAATGTACACATGAGTTTATAAACAAGTTTGCTACGATATACGCGCTACCAACACAAAAACATATAAATCATCCCAACAGAAAACAATTTCAATTATATTCTTTTTGGATTTCGGTACGCAATCCTACGATGATACGGGGATTTACAATGATTGAAAGCAATTGCTACATGGTAGCTGATAAAAACTTGCATATACAATTTTCTATATATGGATTTTGCTCCGCATGCGGAAGGCTTAGATGCAATCCAGCGTGGTGCATTTGCGGTCATAAAGAATTAGCGTGTGGTTGGACTAGTAACTGCAAAAAGCTTGATGAATTTATCAAGAAAGCGCAAATGTTGACAAAGACTGCAAATGATGCTTACTTGCAATATAATCCAATCGCTCTTCTTTGTCAAACGACGCCAGATGAATTTATGAGTGTGGATAAGAATGATCCCCGACAATATGCTTATGCGCGTTTTAGGAATAGACCCTTTAGTTCTTACGTAGAGCTGATTTTACTTGAGAATGCGGATCTAGAAGATGATTCGTTCTATGACAAGGTCAGTAATTAGTTTGATAGTCTGTATTAGTATATTAATATGTATCATTATTATTAGTCACTTGTTAGATTTGACGTATTTATTAATAATGATGTTCTACAGTTATGTGAAGACTATCCAGATCTGCTTGATCCAAACGTTTGGATTACATGGGGTTTTACATATCACCCAGAAAGGCAAAAGTATGCTTTAGTACAAAGCAAAAATGGAATGAGGCTGTGTCTTCTTTGTGTTGGTCGCTTATATCCTACTATAAAGGATTTCTGTTTTTGGTGTAAAAATCTAAGAAATCCCAGTTGGTCCACTGGCAACAAATCTCTAGACTCATTCATAATGGCATCATGGCATAATATGCTGCAACCACATGATGGTTACCTACAATGGATACATTTCTCTCAGTTGATAGATGTGCATGAGATGCCATCATTAGCACATGGATGTTCACATGTAGCAAATTGGCCAAAGCCAATAACAGATGGCTCCCAATTGATACAAGTTTTTCTCAAGAAAGTAGTGAATGGACAAGATGCTCAATCATACGATTTTAATCAGGTAAGGTATTTATTTTAACGAACACAATTAACAATATTATTTTGGATTGTTCACTAATTATAATACTAATTATTTCTTATTATTATATTAATTAATTCAATTACAGCTAGTAGAAAAATATCCAAAGATATTAACACCAGATAACATCTGGATCATTGGTATCACTCAAGAGCCAGTAACAAAAGATTACTTTCTTGTGTTCTACAGTGAAATCCATTCAATTTTAGATAATGTAATACAAGTTGCAAAGTTGGATCCTGAATACAATATTAGTTGGATGCAATATAAAGATCTTTATGAAATTAAGGAAATTGGGTCAGGTGGCTATGGAACAGTATATATGGCCAAACTGAGATCTGGTTCTAAAGATAAACCAGATCAAGTTGTTGCTTTGAAACAATTGAAAAACTTTGATCAGACATTTGAATCATTTATTTCTGAGGTAAATTGTATTTTTTGATTTCAATGTCTGGTATTGACAAAGCATTTTCTAATAATTCATTTAATAGATTAAAAATTACATGAATTGCAAGTTCAAGAAATTTCTTCAAATATATGGTATTGCACGAGGACCAGAAACCAATGAATATATGATTGTAATGCAATATGCTGAAGGTGGCAATCTTTTGTCTTTCTTGGATCATAATTTCAACCATTTGACATGGAAAATGAAAGCAAAGCTTGTAAAACGCGTTGCAGCTAACTTGGAGGTTATCCATGACACGGGCTCAATACATTGTGATTTACATGGAGGAAATATATTGCTGGATTACATATCTAGCTCGGAAGTAGAAGCTGCTTCTTCCAAATTCAATTTTATTTCTTATGTGTGTGATCTTGGACTCTCTCAATCAGTGCACTCGGCTGGATCAAAATCCTCAACAATTCAAGGAGTTTTACCTTACATTGCACCAGAAGTTTTTCATACATACAAACATACCCCAAAATCAGATATATATGCTTTAGGCATTCTTATGCATCAGATTGCCAGTGGTGATCCACCGTTTAGAAATAGAGCATTTGATTACAAACTGATGGAAGACATTTGCAATGGATTACGACCATATATGCCTGATTCAGCACCAGAGCCATACAAAAAGCTTGCCAAGGAATGTTGTGATGCTGAACCTAACAATCGTCCAAGTGCTGGAAAAATTAAGAAGGATATTCAGAAACTTGTTAGTAAGCGATATCAGCAAGAATCTGCTATTTGGAATATTGTCTATAAGAGAGAAAGTGTTGACCCAATATCACGTATTGAGAAAGAGAACAAATATTCAAGCAAGTTATTAACAACAGAATCTTTACCTACACCAAGAAACAGCTGTAATAGTAATATTTCAGGTATGAAAGTAAAATTGATGCCATTATAATATATTAATGTTAATATAATAATCATGAGCACTAATATTAATTTTAATTTATTTTTGGTTAGATTCTAAACAAATTGAACTTGTATTACCAGATGAATTTACATCGCTCAATATTTAGTTTGCATAGTCCATATCATATCCATGCGAAACTTACAATTATTCAAGTAGACTTATTTTTTAGTTATGAAAACTATTTCAATTATTATTTATTATACTAATAAACATGATAAATTTAAGTATTCTCCGGCTTTGTGGTGAATAGGATACATGGATCTCCCGTCCATCATTTCATATTCAGAATTCTTTGTTTCGTGTCTCTGGAATATCATATAAACATTTAATATCTAACTATAACGCGACATTTTCTTAAAAATACAGCATAACATTGCAATTTACATAGTAATAGCAATTTCGAAAAAAAAGGAGAGATTTTCTTTTTCGCTTAACACCCCATCGGTATTAACCTTCCAAGTGTTCGCCACGGGAACACATATACACTAGTAAAACTACTATATGACGAAAGACTTGCCCCGCTTTGATACAAATAATAATATTAACACAAAATTCCACTCTGTTGTACTCTCAAGTCTTTAGTCCACTCACGATCGTTACTCAATTGAGGTGTTATATCACGGAAATAATATTAATATCTTTGAATTGGAGGGCACTTCGGCCTCGACAATGTACGGTACCGCCGAGTGTTATGAGATATGCGAAAGTAACCGTAATTACAAGTTCAGTCAAGACTATATTCCTAGCTTCAACAAAATTGTTTACGTTTTTTACTTATACGTGTATCTGGCGATCTATGGTATACACTCGTACCCCGTTTATATCCCTACCCAGTTATATCTCACCCCCGGTTATATCCCCAATGTTTATAGAAACAAATATCCTTATACAATAAGATAAATTGTACACTTATATCCCCAACCCGTTATATCCCCACTTTCAGGCGAAACAAAAGGGGAAATGTACTAGTGTATTTTATTTCGATGTTATTCCACCAAATATGTGTTAAAAAAATAACAAAATCTGGAGTAATAAATACCTATTAAGTTTAAACTTACTCCATAACCTAATATGGGGCAGACTGCAACAAAACCAGACAAAGTGAACATTTGACGTCACTGGGGATGAGAATAACGCGCGCTTTTATTATCTAACATGACTGTCATTTTTCTACACAGATCGGTCGGGCATGTATAACATGCGATCAAGATATACAGCCAGAAACCGCAAGTTTTACGGCATTATGGTTTTTTGTTTGTAATGCAAAGTCGTATAAAATTATATAAAATCAATTATTTTCAAAACATCACTGTAGACTGTACATATGCAATACCATATCTGTTATGATTCCATATCTATTGCATACATTGTTGTACATTGCAAACGACCTGTCCATAAGTAATCTGGTACATCACGCGTCGTGCTCATACTCATCGCCTCGCAGGGTCATGACTACATCGGGGCATTGATCACGCCGAACTGTGATCGTATTAAAATTATCCGCGCAATAGGAAATTTTCGAAGTTTCGTGCAGCCGGCAATTTCGAGCGCAACGAAGCTGGTGCATAGAAGAGACGTTGGCCTAACATGATGCGCATGATTGGTGCTGCAAACTGCATGCGCTCTCCAGCTGCATGAGTGATGATCCCATGGTGAATGAGTCGAGTGGCTATATCAGCTGACTTCGGAAGATCCTTAAAAAAGTTAAAGAGTGGTTAGCAAAACAAGGATTAGTAGAAAAAAGATCTGTTGGTAACACAAATTATTACCATGTCGACAGTAAAGGTTAGGTCCGGGGAGAATAGGGCCTAACGCAAAACCTCAATTTCATCAGCATCTGGTACCCAACTCTGCATCCAGTAAAACGAGCATAAGCCCTGATGCTGAAGGCCCTGATAGCTGGGGGAGACTAGGAAGCAGTTCATCTCGTCACCTCGACACCCGTCTCCACTGCGATCACGCAGGAGCCTTAGTGTCTCCCGGACAAGGCCAGCATGCCCACCCGTGATTTTGAAAACAGCATCTCGTGTGGAGTCTGGGATCGTGAAACCTGGCTTGTAACGAATGTTGATGAAGTTCTCCACAAGGGTGTCAAATTCGCGACGAGGCAGTCGCAGGTCATCTAGTCCAAGGGACTGTGGGAATGTGATTGGTGTGCTGATGCAATTCCCAGATAGCTCACCATACATGCTTACGAGCAAAACACGCATGAGGGAGTTCTTGCCCTGCATAAGAATTTTCAAATGGCTCCAGAACCAAGGAGCATGTCTATACAGGATTTGGGCCTCATCCACCAAAATGTCTGTCTGCACTTCGGCATTGACACAGCTGCTCCAAGATATCCCGGCTTCTGCTATCCAGAAAGCATCGAAGGCTTCTTCGCTGGAAAAATGTTTTTCACTTTCTTGGATAGTTATGGTTATGACTGTTCGTCCGAGCCTTCTAAGGTAGATACTGAGAAGCTCTGTGAGTGTGGTTTTCCCTGAGAATGGTGGACTTCGCTCGAAGGATGCTCATCTGAAGAAAACGATTAGATGAAGAGACGGATTTAAGAAATAAAGTACAAAACAGCTCGAATGCCACATACCCTTCAATTTTTTGATGTAGTCAACAATGATATTCGCAGGTCCACCTTTCATACCATACCTCTCAAGTTTCTCCTCCGTCAGTGCCAGGAATGCGATGCCCTCAATCCTATTTTCCCTCAAGATTCTAAAGTCCTCTTCAATGAATTTGGTAGGAAATTCACCCTGAAGATGTTTTATAAGATACTTCGTGTCCCATCCCCTGATGTCAGTGATGGAGGGTGGTTGCACGGCAATGAAGAGTTTGGAGCCACAGCGCTCACATTTGTGAGATTGCTCAATGGCATTCTCTCAGATCTACTTCGTTTCTTCTATAATAAAGTGGAATCAGATCAGCCACATCAGAAATTAGGATCCCAATACAATTAGTGTTGACATCAAGCATACGTTTGGCTCGCCCCGCTCTTCCCCCTCGTCGACACTTGCTGCGCTGTCAAGATTTTTGGAACATTCTTCTATAATACTTGCAATAGCCTCAGTTTTCTTTTCACGTGCAAGCTCCAGCAAATGCATGCTCGCATGTTCATAGTTGATTGCAACATTCATCTATTTGCACATTGCAGGCAATCAGTTCTTAAAATATCTGAACCTTGACAATTCTTCATTCCATACCTCCATCATCTTGCTTTTCCGGTCTTCAATTATGGTTTCCCAAAACTGACGAAGTTTATTTGGGTTTTGTTCCTATGGTTCTTGCAGGAGTATTACAAATGATTAGATGTATTCACGTTTAGAGCAATAACTGCCTATTACAATCAAAAGGGTGGCATCCACTGTCGAAAAGAGGAGTGAAGAGAGTCTCTCGGCATCCACTGTCGAAAAGAGGAGTGGAGAGTCTCTTGGCGTCGCTCTCATCACTCAGTTGAAGGATGAAACCTCCAAATGAGAGTCCCCAGTGTCCAGAGAATGGATGATATGGAAAGAGAAGATGGTACTAGCACCGTTCTTTACTCTCCCAGGCAAGGCTAGAAACAAATACCTATCCCAAGAGATTCCACACCACATGCCACCACATGCCAGGAAGAAAGAAAAATAATGACCTTCCGCTTAAAGTCACTCCATCCTTGCATTGTTCGGCCTATCCGTAGGAAACGCGTTCTCCATGCACCATCAAGACCAGTCCATGTGTTTGCAAAAGGCGGTAACGTGAGAATTGTAGAGCGGTTGTCATTCAAAAAATGTAGATATGTCCATTTTTCAGAGCTGTGCTTCTGGAAGTACAGGGTCGTAATAGCTAAAATGCATACAGACAGTCAAGCTTACGGTTCCTCTGCAAAAAAAGTTATTTTTTCCACTTACTGTCTCTGTTGGTGTAGTTGATACCGGTTTCGCTCATTCTAGGATACGCGATGTGAAGCGATGTGACGTATCGAGAGGTGAGGTGCATGAGAATATATAATCATCCAGACAGTTTCTAACAAAGCCACATTATCATATCAGACAAATGGATGGGCAGTGAAAAGCGGACTTACGTGCTAATTCCCGAGTGAATGCTATGAAATGATTACAGTAATAAGTATTCCAGTGGAAAAGATATCAAATCGGAACGCGTTGTCATAATACATACAGTCAACTGGTCCGGGGTCACCGTTCGAATTATCGTGATAGTCGAATTATCGATTTTTGGTTACACATGGTACTCGGAATTTTAT